CTCTCTCTCTCTCTCTCTCTCTCTCTCTCTCTCTCTCTCTCTCTCTCTCTCTCTCTCTATCTATCTATCTATCTATCTACCTCTCTATCTCTGTATAGTATATTTTTTTCTCTTTTCTCATGCTGAAAGATTTCCACAGACATTTCTTGTTTCCATGAAAAGCAGATGGAGGACTCCTTAACAGCAAAGATCTAAGTCCCTGCCCCACTGAATTTCCACTCCTTAATGTAGCCATAACTTCTAGAACCACCACTCTCTTGGGCCCCTTATCTAATTTCTATTTCCATCCCAACACTAGCATTTGGTGTTATTTCTGGGGCCATTTTTCACAAGGTCGGTAGGTATGCGTTTTGTTTTTCCCACTTTGTAGGAATGACCAAATTCACAGGAATAATGAGGGAACAACAGAGCCCCCACAGATAGGCACATGGCGGGCCTATTTACAGTGTCTCCAGACATGCTCAGTGGGTGCACCCCAACATCGCTGCCACGTGGTAGGTGGATGCAATTCCAGTTTGTGCCTCCATAAAATGGCACATCATGACATGTGAGAGCCTTGCCCAGTTGAAGCCACTGTCATTCAGTCCCCAAATGCAGGTCTCCTGTACAATCAGCTGCTCCCACCACAGGCGTGACCTGCCCAGTTAGCTATAAACCCGCACGAGTTACCTATATTAGAGGGGTTACAGTGCAGTGAAATACCGTACGCTTAAAGCTGCATGAACCGTAATGAGATTGACTTTGTATTGTCAGAGGCACTTCAGAATTGGGCAGTGTCTGGTTTGGGCGTGCTCACGGTAACTTCTCGGAGGAGAGGATGTGGAGGGGTACAGTAGAGAGGCACCATTGTCTTCCTCCCCGACCTGGGAGCAGTTGTGTCCATGCCACAGCATTGCGTGCCACGTGGCCTAGTGTACAGTGGCAAAGGCAGAGAGTGAACTTGCATTTTCTCCTAATTTCCAGGCTAATTGCTGAGAGCCTTTGCAACATGTTTAATATGTTACCAACCTCTGAACAGCTGGCAGGTCTCAAATAAAATAATGGACGTGGTGGGAAAGGGCGTTCTTTTGATGAGCAAGTTGCTTCACAGCCCGGCGCTGGTAGGTGCTCTCTCGGTCCCCAGGGAGGCAGGGACATGACCTTGCCTTCATCAGAGGCAGCTGAACATGGAGGTTCGGAGCTTAGACCCCAATGGTTCAGGTCCTAGCTCTCCTGCTACGACCTCAAGCAAGTCAATGCGTCAGTGTCCTCATCTGTAAGAGAGAGTTCTAGAGGGTTGTTGCTGAAATCAAATCAGTCAGTGAAGACAAAGCCCTTAGAACAGTGCTCAGCACCCATTATTGCTGCTGAAACTTGTTGTTAATATCAGTATCATGAGTAGCAGTAGCCTTGTGCAGCTCCCCACAGGGCCGGCTGCTGATCTCTGTCTCGCAAATATTTTGCAAATATTCCTGAGAGCCTTTTGACTAGTCCAGATTGCTAACCTAGGGTCCCTGTGCTGCCAGGTCACTCCCTGCCACATAACCAGCTGTTCTCAACTTGTACTTTGTGGGCTTTTTCTTCCCTGAATCTGCCACTCGGCAGCTGTCTCTATCAGGTTTCATTCTACTTCTAAATATAGTCCATCTCATTTCTGCCCCATCATCAGACTCACTGGGTGTGTGACTTAGGGCAAGGATGGCAGCTGAGAAGTCAGCCTTCATCCTCTTCTAACGGGATTGTCCTCCTATGTTTTATCATCTCTGAAGGCAGACTGTGCAAAGACAGCTTTGGGGCACGTGGCTCCCAGGGCCCAATGAAAGGATGCACTGGGGTTCCTTCCCCCGAGTGGCAGTGAGGGCAGGGTGATCCCCTGCCTTGCCTCACCCCCGCGTTGGCCAGCTGACAGATCCATCAGCAGTGGAGGGTTCCCGTTAGCGTCTACCAGGCTGGCCTGGCATTGGTTCTGGGTGTAATTGAATGCTTTAGGAAATTTGATTAAAATGTGAAAAGGTTGTTTCCTGGTCATAGAGCTGTAAAGACTGTCTGGTATTATCCAGAAGACAGGGCCAGTTGTCCCTGCTGCTGTAGCATCTCTGAAGGAACAATTAGAGTTACACTTGGCCGGGAGACTTGACGCGCTGTGTGGCTGAAGTTGTGCTCTGTCTGACGTAGGGTAGATAGGTTAGTGCCAAGTCCAGTGTTCGCTCGTTGCCTTTGAGAAGGGCGTTCAGGGTCCCCTAATGCAGTGGCCTTTCTGCATTGCTCTTACACGGTTTCTATGTGAGGGAATTACTGGTCCACTGTTTTCCTGAAGAGTCCAGATGGCCACACTGCCCCCTGTTCATCAGGGAGTTCTGAGATCTGTGCCATGCTTAATTTGCCGATCTCACAGAAAAACGAAGATGACCGTACCTAGAATGCTGTGTGTTTTTTTCCTGAAAAGCAGGCTTCTGATCTAAAGAGCCAGAGCTGACACCCACGTGCGACTTTTTATTGATCCCTTGTTTTCTGGGTGGCAGCAGCTCAGTCCCCATCGGCCCCGCTGCCTGTCACTCACCCCATCACAACCACAGATTTTCACGTCTGCCTCAGACTGTGTACTGAAACCACGGATCCCCCAGTGGCGCACAGTTCCAGCTCGCGGAGGCTTCATCACAGCACTGACACGAAAAGACAAACAGAAATCTGACTTGCCATGTTATCCATCCAATAAAAAAGCCACCCAAGGGGAGCGGAATAGATATTCATCACGTCTCAGAAACTCAGCCAAGCCTGTGAGTTCAAGTGCAGTATTTCTAGGTGGACTTAGAAAACCTTTCCTTGGCAAAGCAGCGAGTTCTCCTCCTGACAGCTCTTTTCACCAGTGGGCCAGCCTGTCTGGGTTAGGACAAAGGCAGCTCTACCCGTCTGATTTGGCCTGATAGCGGGTTTTCTACTTCCCCAGTGGTTTGCGCAGCATTGTGGGGGTCAGAATAAGTTTCCATGCATTAAGCAGCCTGTCCTCTGTACGCTGCCTGTGTTTGCCTTTATCTGCAGTCAGGCTTTGGCTGCTGAGGCGGCCTTTGCCCTGGTTGAGCATGAGCAGAATAACAGCGTTGGCTTGAAAAGAGATTCAAGAGATGCTGATGGGATTATTCAGGTGGCTTGTCACTGGAGCATTTCTCTGTCGGAAGGGGCATGTAGATTTTTTTGTTTTATTATAGAATTTCTACCTTAGCAACTGTGTGCCTGTGTGTGTGTGTGTTACAGCATCTGCAAAAGCTAAATTTTTGGAGCACTTTTGTTACTATATCTTGCTTCTTCCTAGTATCGTATTTTTCCAGAAAGTTCTTTTGTTTAATGCATGCTCTCTGAAAGGAGCAAGAATGAGAGCCTTACCTGCAGTATAAAGTTAAAAAGGAATATTTCAAGGAAAGCGTAGTTTGACTTGAATTTCAGCAGGTTGGGGAAATCTACCTGCTTAAATGTGTCCCCTTTGTATTTGGGAATTTCAGCCTCCCCTGTGTGAGGAGAACATGTCTTTATTTTTCTTACTGAAAAACAAGGGGTGGGAAGGGTGCTTTCTGGTCATAGATCTGTAAAGACCACATTTCTTGGTTCTGCCAGGTTGATCTGAGCTGGCAGTTAGCACCTTGGAGTTACTCTTATGCGGAATCATGGCAATTCTAATAGTTAAAGGTGAACGTGGTATGATAAAGTGTGCACCCGTGTGATTTAACACAAATACACATGGTGAGTGGATTCCATCCTGCTAATATTTCCCAAGCAGCTGCCATGGCCCAGCACTGATTTAGCTCTAGTTACAGAGTGAATGGGACAGCGTGGCCCCTCACTCACGGAGCTGACAGTCCAGAAGGGGAGAAACAGTGGCGTCTTCCTCAAATAAGGCCCCTTGGCGAGCCATTCCAGCTGATTATTTTCACGGAGATGAGAGGCAGGGTCAGCTGGCCCAGCTCGGTTCAGAAGGCCAGGGAGCTGCTGCCCCCTCTGCCGGCTACGTGGCTGAAGTGGGTCACAGGCACCCAAGTTCTTCCTCTTGGGATGATGTGAAGATGAACACGGTTATCGCCCACTTCCGATTTTTCAGAGCTGGAATCTTCTGTTTGTTCCTTCTAGATTTGCTTCTCTTACCTTATTCCAGCAATCACTAGGCCTTCCAGCAGAGGACGGGCCAGAAAGAGACAGGACGGTAAACTGAGGCCAGACATTGCGGGCCTGAGGTTAAAGGGTACTCAAGGCTGACACTGGGAGGAGGGCAGGCGAGTGTGGGGGGTGACAGAGTTCCCCATCCTCTGCTCCCTGAAGTCAGGGCTGTGAAATATGTTCATTCCTTTGAGAAAGTGCTACATAAATGCATGGTGACAGTAGCAGAAGAATACTCGCTATTTACTAAAAGTGATCAGGATTTTCTGGTGACATCTCCATGTTCAGGAAAGAATGAGGCAGTGTCTCCGAGGAGGCAGAGGGTGGCAGTTTGATTTGCCTTCAGAATGCTGATCTTTCATTTTTTTGGAGGTTTTATATAATTTTTTTTTTCTTTACAGAATGAAGCTGGCCTACTGGAGTTCTTCCAAAATGTGATGAAAGAAACTAGAGCAGAGCCCAAAAAAGTGACGAGTTGGGTCCTCAACACTTTTCTGGGTTTCTTAAAGCAACAGAACCTTGCTGTCAGTGAGAGGTGAGTGGATCCTGGGGATTCCTTCTCCCCTTGTGATGAACTCGGTGTCCAGACGCAGCTGAAACAGGGCACGGCCAGTGTTACACTTTCCCTGCTCCCCCCTCAGGGTCTCCTGATGAGACACACACCTCCCCTGTGAATTCCAGATTCCTCCATCACATCTAAAAACTCGCTTATTTGTTCACATCTCTGACTGTCCATGCTGTCCTTTGTGCTGTCCTGGGGCTGGAGCCTGCAGGTGAATCAGACAAGGAGTTTCTAAGTTTGAGGGGCTATAGACCTGTCAGAAAATAGACAGTCACCTCAGTGTGATCCTGTTGTGCTGGAGGCGAGCACAGGGTACCGTGAATGTGCAAAACGGGACCTGAACTGAACCTGGGACAGTCATCCGACGTTTCCTTCAGAAGGTAATGCTTGGACCAAGTCCTAAAGCACTAGTGGGAGTTGCCAAGTGGAGAGAAGGGCCAGGGGCATTCAGACAAAGGAAGCAGTTGTGCGACCCACAGAGACAAGCAGGCCCGGTAGGCTCAGGAAACCCAGAAACTCCAGGGTGCTGAGGTGGGCTAGCAGGAACGGAAGGGAGAAGGCTGCAGAGAGGGACACAGGCCACCAGGAGGACTTTGTAGGACTTTATCAAGAACCCCTGGAAGCCATAGGTCACAAGCACACTTTAGTTTCACTGTGGCGGGTGGGATGGGAGGACTGACTAAAGGCAGGCAGCCCCGTTGGGAACCTCGTCTAGGAGTGCCCAGGGAAAGTGCCCCAGGCCTGAGCCGAGGTGGTGATAGCAGCGCTGAGGGGAGATGGACCCATGGAGAGCAATGATCTCGTATCGGCACGGCATTCCGATTTCTTGCGTGGGCAGTGGTGTGAAATGAAGGGCAGTGTCGCGGTTTTCAGTCTAGTGGGAGATAAGAAAGAGGAATAAGCTGAGAAGGACAGGGTAGGGCAGGATTTCATGTTCCTTTTTGGACATGCTGAGTTCGAGCTGCCTGTAGGACAGACATCCCCCTCATGGGGATAACCAACAGGCAGTCAGATATATGCATCTACAGCTGACAGAGATCGGGAGGTATAAGTCTGAGCACTCTCATCTTTTCTGTATTTGGCACGTTAATTTACACTGGGCTCTGTGCTAAGCTTAGGGAAGACCAGTCAACACGACAGACGCACTCTGCTTCAGTGCTGACAGCCTAGAAGCTGGTGATTACAGAGCAGTGAGTTAAGTGCTCTGAGCAGGGAAGGGAACGGCTAAGCTAAGACCTGAGTGAAGGGTGAGTAGCGTTAGTCAGGCAAAGTCCCAGGGATCAAAGTGTTCCTGGAGAAGGGAACGGCACGCGGGAAAATCCTGAGGTGAGTCTTGGCGTGACCATTCTGGGAATGCAGATACACAGAATGTGGACTTAGCAGCATAGAGGTGATACCTGAAGTCATTGGAGCAGATGAGAACTGTCAACATAAAGCGTGATAAGATGGCTGGGGAAGGCCTGAGACTCTCTAGACTTTCACTGAGAAGCATGGGCAGAGAAGGAGGAGAAAAACCAGGAAAGAGCTGATGTCACACAGACCAAAGGAGTTTCAAGAAGGAAAGAATGAGCAGCAGGTTTACATGAGGCGGGTGGTGGGGGAGAGAATCATAGGGACACATAGGAGGTGGCAGGACCCTGGCAGGGTCCCTGTCTCAGTGGAGTCGGGTCTGGGTGGGTGTGTCATTGTCTCAGCAGCGTCATGGCCGTGGAGAAGTGAAGACAGGCAGGAATTGATACACAATTCCAAAAAGTTGTTTGCTCAGAGAAGTTAACTGTACAATGCCCACCTCCTGTTCCGCCTCTTGCCTGCAGTGTATACACGTATGTGCATGTAGTAATGTGCTCTTCCTTACCTGGCTGCTTGCCTGCACTGACCTTGGATGAGTCCTCTCTCTGACCCTCAGTTTCCTCACTGTAAATGAAAATGACCATACCTGCCTCCAAGGGTTTTTGAGAGGAAAATGCCCAGTGCCCAGCACACAGTAGGCCCTCAACGTTAGTTCCCTTTTCTTTGCCATGTTGACATATTAAGTATGGCCACCCTGTTTCCTAAACTCCTGTGGCATCTGTTGCCTTTTCATCTTTCATCCCTGCCCTCAGATTTGACTCTATTCAGAAACTCCAGTCTACACTGAAGCACTGTGGCCATTCAGTGAGCGCTGGAGCCATCTGGGAGAGTTTGTGGAGCAGATATTACGAACCAAAGCCTTAAAGGATAGATAGGATTTGGGGAAGGAGAGAGCTGGGCAACACCAGTGGGGAGCTAAGGCATGGGAGTGACAATGAACCAGCACGTTTGGGGACCAGGGAAGAGCATAACTGGTAGGAACAGAGGGTGGAAAATGGCAGGACAGCATGTTTGACTGTATGATTGGAGTAGAACCAGAACATGGAGGGTATGGATGGTCACGGGAATTCAGCCCTGGATCTAATGAATAGGTGTAGAGCACCACTGTGCGGTGCGTGGGGAGATGAACAGGACCCATCAGGCCCTCAGGAAGTTCTCTGTCTCCTGGGGCGGACTAGACGTATGCATCAGTCCTTTAGCTCAAGGCAGAATGGGGTGCTTCCTGTTTTAGAACTCGACACAGTGCAGTGGGAGCACGGAAGAGGAAGATAATATTAGCCAGAAGAAGCCAGGAAGGGTCCAAGATGCGGTTTGAGCATTTGGAGGAGATAAAAATCTAAAAACTTGGAACTTATAGTTTCTATATTGTTGGCTATGATTCCTGAATTCTGGTCTTGCAGAGACCTTCAGTATCTCCTGGTCTGGCTCTTTCATTTAGCAGATGAGGAAATCGAGGCTTTAAGAAGTAAGGTGATGGACCTCAGGTTGCACAACTGCTAAGACTGGACATCAAGTCCCCTGACTTTCAGATCACTTTCTTTATATGTTGGTCTGTGAAATTAGGGGTTTGCTTAACAACCATGTTGGTAGCTTCTAAAGGAACTGAGGTTGATAAATTGGCTTGTTGAGTGAACATGGAACCTGGTATTTACCAAATAATTCATAAGCACTAGAGTTTTAACCCAAAGGGTACCCAATTCGAAATAAAAGTACACACTTGATCCTTGGACAACACAAGTTTGAACTGTGGGTCCACTTATATGCAGATTTTTTAAAATAAACACTGTAAATGTATTTTCTCTCCCTTATGATTTTCTTAATAGTATTTTCTTTAGGTTACTTTATATAGAAATATGTATGGCATACAAAATATGTGTTAATCAACTGTTTATGTTATTGGTAAGGCTTCCATTCAGCAATAGGATATTAGTAGTTCTAAGTTCTGGGGAAGTTAACAGTTACACACAGATTTTCAACTGCACAGGGGATCGGTCCCCCTAACCCCGGCATTGCTCAAGGATCAACTGCAGTTGGTTGTTCCAAAATCAGGGAAAGAGAAAGCTAAACAACAGTTCTGTTTTACAATATATGCTGAACAAGAACCGAGAAGCCCAAACCCAGCTGTAGCAGCTCTCTTCCCACACAGGTCAGAGAACTTTTAGCTGGACTGGGTATACCGGCCTCATCTTGGAACAAACATTAATTAATAAACAACCTCAGCTACTAGGATGAAAATTTCCAAAGCTTAGAGCAGCAGTACTGCAAAGCTAGCAATAGTCTCATGATGACACCTGGCAAGGAGCACTCTGGAGATCAACTTGGCAGGAACTGATTTTGCAAATCAGCATTCATCTTTAAAGACCTCTCAAAAGACTGGTGTTTAAAGGATCCAACCAGAAAAGCTCTGTTGAACTTGGCTTTTTATTTATTTTGAGCATCTTAGTTTGTAAATTGTGTTTTTGTTAATATTAGTAAGAGGTTTGATTTAGTTACGAAAGTGGAAATTACAGATTCTCTGACCACGCATTTCATGGTAAAATTGTGGAAGTTCAACTGTCCAGTTGTCCAGTCCAGTTGAGTACCCCAAACTTCCGTGTCAGCTATGGCAGTAGTTCCGAAAGCTCTAGGAAACCAGGGGAGGCTTTTGAGCCAAGAAGGGACTGACAGTGACAGGCAGATTCGTCCCGCAGTGTGATACAGGGGATAGCATCCAGGGATGGGGCTGCAGGAGTTGGGAGCCTATTAGAGGTCATTGTGGCCGGCCTGGTTTTATACAGCCTGTGAGCTAAGACTGGTGATTATCTCTTAAGTAAACTAAAAGACGAATATGTGACAGACCGTGTGTGGCCCACAAAGCCTTAGATATTTACAATCTGGGGCTTTCTAGAAATTTGCCAACCCCTGGTGTTTGGGTGACATGGGACCTCTTGAGAGGTGGTTGGATTTAGTGGGTAGAGAGAACTGGACCCTGGAGCAGCCGTGGCAGCCTCGGGGCCAGATGTGCTTTCCCTTTACCAGACTGACGCAAAGGCAGGGAACCACAGAAGGAACACCGAGGCTACTCGTTGTTAGCGGGCGGGAAGCGGAAGAGGGATGGTGAAGGAGGAGGCGGAAAGGGGGTCTAAATGTAGCTCAGAAGCTGGGGTGCAAAAGGATGGGGCAATTTGTTATGTTTGGCAACAAGTGAGGGAGGTGGTAATTCGAGACGACAGCTTCTGTGGAGGGATAGGGTCAGAATCCAAACCCCACGTGCCTCCAAGTGTCAACAGCAGCTTCTGTCGCTAGATCTTTATTGGTAAAAATTAGGTACAAACCAGGAAGAAGCAAGTGACTGCGAGATCACTTGAAGGCATTTTCAAGAAAGGAAAGATGTGAGCATTTTTGAAGGTGTGGGATTAAAGCCACAGGACTGCAGGTTAGATGTATTAGAGTCAGAGTTGTAGGAGCTCAGAGTGATGAGATTAAGAGCATGGGTGGTTGGATGGAGGGGGGTGGGCACCATAGAAAATTCTGAATCTTGCATCAGCTGATGTCCTTGTGAAGTGGGAGGTGGAGTATATGCTGGGAAGGAGGCTTTCTAGAACAGTTGCTTCAGTGGGGGCACCAGGTAGGGGCCAGGAAATTAGTAAAACGGACAGAAGGATTATTGAGCAACAAGTGCAGCCTGGATGTCCAAGCCCCAGTGTCTCCTCCGGGAGCTTCCCGTCCCATTTTAACAGAAGCAGAGAAGATGGACTTTGGGCCTACGGGAGCTTGGGGATTGAGCTGGGCAGCACATTTCTAGGATACAGCTTGGAGGGAGCTGGGGGTGGGGTTGTGGTTGTAGAAGTGTCACAATGTCTGCTCCCACAACCCTAGCTGGCGATGCAGTTGTGATTCTATAAGAGCTCTAATGCACTGGGCGAAGTTTTGAAAGATCGCATTTCCCCTCCTCTGTAGATAGTCTGTCCTCGGGATTAGAGACAAGCACACAGAGCATAAGCCTTCGCTGTCAGATAATTCTTCAGTGGAGACATGTTCTCGGTCCAGAAACTAGCACTATCTGACAGCAGCAAATTAGTAACTTGTGCTTCTGCTACCATTATGTTCCAAATCCGAGTGTCTCATGATGAGTGGGGTCTTTCAGGGTCAATGTGACAGGTACTGATCTTTGTCATCATCTTGCTCGGCATTAGCCCTGGCATATCTGGAATTGGTATATGCCGTATACCAGATACCCCTGTTAGGAGGAAGAAACCTGTGACATAAATGTTAGTGACCTACTAGGCGTCAAGCATCGTGGGTACAAAGCGGGGACTGAGAAATCCCAAGTGTTGGTAGGTCAATGTAGATACTTTATAGTGTAAACTTATGACCTCACTAATGAATTAAGGTCATTGGATGAAAGGCAAAGTATTTTTAGTTATGTTGTCTTCTATTTCTGTCCTTCTCTGTCCCAACATCCCTTATATCATTAACTCATATGAGAGTAGGGACCCCCATTTTTTTGTGTGCATGTTATAGAAATTTAGTTCAACCACAGTGCTGATTATAGTTCTACACAGTCTATACTCTAATTGGCCATTATATTTCCTAGGATTGCAGAACATCCCAGAAACCAGCATCTTTAATGCAACCTGATTCTATATAACTTGTCAGTAAGGATGAGGGGGCTGGAAAAAGGCTATCAGTTTATTTCCCAGCCCCCTGCCCCTCTTCCTGTTGAGATGTAATCAGGGTGCTTTGCAGATGTTCCAGATACCAAATTAATAACACCAGACACTCTCCAAACCTAATTTCCGCTTGGAAGTACCTTTATCCAAATGTGCTTTGGGATAAACAGACACTCTTGAGGATGATGGTCTGCCTCTGTGTCAGCTGTTTTGAACGAACCACACTGATGAGGTTTCACTGAGCAAGAGTCAGACTATAGTAAGTCCTACCTGGTTAACTTGCACTCGATTGGTTTGAAATTCATGGAAATTGGCAGAGGCCAAACGGTAGTTTCCTTTTTATTACCTGAGCTTACAACAAAAATGAATAGTGAATGATGGCAACGGAGACTTAAACAGAAGGTGTTTTCAAGTGACGTTAAGCATTTGAGAAGCTGTCATTGACATAGACCGGATAATATGCTATTTATAGGTCTTTCCTATCTGTTTAAAACTAGTGCCCTAATGACCTCAGGCAGACAGCGTTTCATAGCCTAGTTGCTCTATGTGTTTGGAAGCAGCAAAACCATATATTTTAAAAGAAATACAGGGGTGGCCGATTAGCTCAGTTGGTTAGCATGCAGGCTCATAACACCAAGGTTGCCAGTTCAATCCCTGCATGGGCCGCTGAGTTGCGCCCTCCACAACTAGATTGAAACAACTACTTGACTTGGAGTTGATGGGCCCTGGAAAAACACTGTTTCCCAATTAAAAAAAAAAGAAAAGAAAAAAAATAAAAGAAATACATAGTCTGTAATTCAGTGTTGTCTTTTCACTAATCTAGGCTCTCACCCCCCGCCCCTCCTACCTCTGAATATAAATTAATGACACTTTATGTGTTTCTTTGCTCCTCGGCCTTTTATATCAGGCGATTTTGGCAAACAGGTCACGTCTAGAAGTACGTGATAATGAACTCTGGGTCCTTTTGTGTCCAGAAAGCAGTCATGAGCCTGCAAGAGAGAGCAGTCTGTGGAGATGCCCATCAAGACAGTTAAAGACATGGTGGGTAGTCGTTGTGTTCCCTTGAAGAGCAGCTCTCACAAAAATAATTTATATTTGCACAAAAAACACCAAAAAAGGGGCTTTGTTAGCTGTTTTGTTTGAAGCAATTTTTAGGCTGATCTTTTAGTTGAAAATATTTAATTACTTGGTTTTTGTGTTTTTTTTTTCTCTTCATGGTTCATAAATTTTGCAACCACCTCTTTTTTTTTTTAACTAATTAAACTGAGCAGTTGTCTGTTGCTACAACTTCTGCCAAACAGCTGTTAGTGTTGGGTGGTAAAACAAAGAGACACAACACTCATCGCAAAAATTTGTTATATCCTAAAATACAAAATAAAAGAGCCAATTGGCCTGTTGTTTTCATTCCCGGGTGGGGGTTTAAATATTTAAACCTGCAAAATTGGTTGCTCTGATTCTGAATAACTCCGTGGATACCCTGACAATGTGAAATGTAAATTTCTTTTCTCTTCTTTTGGGGGCTTAGTCCTGTCACTCCTTCTGCACTGGCCGAGCTTCTCAACCTGCTGGACAGGAAAGCCATCTCTTCGTCTGCAGCTAAACAGGTATGTCCACACTTCCTAAAGCTTCTGACTGCTCTGCTACCCCAGGAAATGTTTTCTGTGAAATCAAATGCCATCACTAAGTGAATTTCATAATTGAAGTAGTAAATGCTTGTAGCTGCTATTTTTATACTGAAAGGTAGGAACATTTTATTTAGCAGATGAAATAAAGCCAGTATGTGCTAGGCAGGTGACTCACTTCTCATCTTTGCTAACCAAGAAGAAGAGTTACGTTTCCCAAACATTTGTCTATGTGAAAGGCTGGGGCCCTGCAGCTTGGGGCCTCAGACTGCTGGAACATCCCCTGTGCCCTGAGGTGTTCCCTCTCACTTCCTTTGCAGCCTCCCAGCCGCCCCTGAAAGTCAGTTCTTCAGCAAGGAGAATGAGGTCAGACAGGCTGCGGGCTCGCACTTAGTAGAGAAATTTTACACACCTGCCCAGTGTGTATGAAAACTCAGAAAAATAGCATCCTCATCAGAGGCCTTCTGCCTCATGTCCATCGCCTAACAGTCTCAGGTGGGTGAGATTCCTGTAATTCTGAGAACACGTGCAAATAAGATCCTAGAAAGACAAGCAACACCAAAGTGGCCGCCTGATCTCAGCTTCCGATTCACAGCTGTCAATACTTCAGCCAGAAACTTAATGTGATTTTAATGATGCCTTTTGCATTTAATATTCATACAGATCAGCAGTAGTGGCAGGTTACAAAGTGAGGCTTTGGAAAAGTGGCTGCTTTGGGTTAATTATGAGGCACCATGGAGCATACACCGACTCTGACAGGAACTAACAAAGGCCCTGTTTACCCACCACCTAGTGAGGCTGTCGGCTACGGGGACCGCCACATTTGGGAAAGGATTTTGGCCGCCTCGCCGCCCTCAGAGGAATACAAAGGTTTATGACCATGCTCAGCAGTAGCAGAAAGATTAGAGGGCCTGAGGGCAGAAATAAACCTACACACACACACACACACACACACACACACACACACGCAGATGAATTGTAGCGTTTGAAATGAGAGGGGGAAAACATTCTTCCCCTTCCCACTCACCTTGTCTCACCAAAATAAGGGAAAAAAAAAAACACGTAATGCAGTGAATATGATAGGTTCAGTAGGAAGAAATGGAAAATGGTGAAAGATGCTGACAGCTAGGTTCATATATAGATCAAGACAAGTTGGGATTCTAAACAGACTTCCAGCATGTTTAAAGGAGGTGGGGTGAATCCTGGCTTCTGTGAAGCAATCAAAGTGAAGCAAGAGTCTGTCGGATTAGAAAGGTGTGAACTGTGTGCTGCATAAGGAAATCTCCCTATAGATCAGTGCCTTGAGGATTTTGCTTTTTTATTTTTCTACTTTGTTCTCTGTTTTTAAGAAAATCACTTATTGATTTTCTGGTGAAAAAGAGAAAAGGGTATTTTATTTTTATAAAGAATCCATTCTTCTATTGGTATATATTCATGGAAAGGTGCCTGGAATGGTGTCCAACCCATATTAGTAGTAATTATTTCAAGGTGGTAGAATTTGAAAAATCTTTATATTTTTCTGCATTACTTAAACTGTTTTAATTACCACAGCTTTGTAGTATAGTTTGAAATTGGGGAGTGTGATGCCTCCAGCTTTGTACTTTTTTCGTAGGATTGCTTTGGCTATTCGGGGTCTTTAGTGGTTCCATAAAAATTTTAGGATTTTTTGTTTTATTCCTGTGAAAAAATGCCATTGGGATTTTGATAGGGGTTGCACTGAATCTATAGATTGCTTTAAATATAGATATTTTAACAGTTAATTCTTCCAATCCATGAACATGAAATATCTTTCTATTTCTTTGTATCTTCAATTTTCAATATTGTCTTGTAGTTTTCAGTGTTTAGGTCTTTCACCTCCTAGGTATTTTATTTTTGATGCATTGTAAATGGGATTGTTTTCTTCATTTCTCTTTCTGATATATATTAGTATATACAAATGCAACAGATTTTTGTATATTGATTTTGTATCCTGCAATTTGACTATATTTGTTTATTATTTCTAATAGTTTCTTTTGGTAGAGTCTTGAGGGTTTTCTACATACTAAATCATGTCATCCACAAATAGTGCCAGTTTTACTTCTTTCTTTCCAATTTGGATGCCTTTTATTTCTTTTTCTTGCCAATTGCTGTGACTTGTATTTCTAATACTATGTTGAATAAAAGTGGCAAGAGAGGGCATCCTTGTCTTGTTCCTGCTCTTAGAGGAGAAACTTCCAGTTTTTCACCTTTGAGTATATTAGCTTTGGGTTTGTCATATATGGCCTTTATTATGTTGAGGTACTTTCCTTCCAAACCCATTTTGAGAGTTTTCATCATAAATGAATGTTGTATGTTGTCAGGCGCTTTAATGCATCTATTGAGATTATCATATAATTTTTACCTTTCATTTTGTTAATGTGGTGTATCATGTTGATTGATTTTCAGGTGTTGAACTATCCTTGCATCCCTGAAATGAATCCCATTTGATCATGGTGTATGATCCTTTTAATGTATTATTGATTCAGTTTGCTGGTATCTTGTTGAGGATTTTTGCATTTGTGTTCATCAGAGATATTGGCATGTAATTTTCTTTTTTTGTGATGTCCTTGCCTGGTTTTGGTATCAGGGTAATGTTGGCCTCATAAAATGAGTTAGGAAACATTCATCCTCTTCAATTTTTTGGAAGGGTTTGAGAAATATAGGTATTAAATCTTCGAATGTTTGGTAAAATTCACCAGTGAAGCCATTTGGTCCTGGATTTTTTTGGGGGGGAGGTTTTTGACTACTCTTTCAATTTCCTTACTATTGATTGGTCTATTTTTTAACGCTTTTTCCCTTTAACCTTTATGTTCTAATTGTTTAACACCACATTCTGAATTTGAGTTGCAAATTTCTGCTTCTGTCTGCCACCTTAAAGCTTTGTGTACTTTTTGTCTTGTTTCAGGCAGAAGCTAAACATTTGTTGTAATGCAGGTCTTGTGGTAAATTCCCTCATTGTTTGTCTGAGGAAGCCTTTATTACTCCTTTATATTTAAAGGATTTAACTTTGCTGGATATATTATTCTTGGTTGCTGGTTTCTCTCTATCAATATTTTGAATATATCATTTCATTGTCTCCTGGCCTGTAGGGTTTCTGTAGAGAAATCTGATGGTAATCTGATGGGGTTTCCTTTGTAGGTTACTGTCCTTTTTTTCTCCGGTTTCCTTAAGAATTCTTTATCATTAACTTTTGACAGTTTTAATGTGTCTTGGAGAAGTTCTTTTTGCTCTGAGATAATTAGGTGTTCTCTTAGCTTCTTGAATGTTCAGTTCCTTCCCTAGGTTTGGGAAGTTCTCAATTATTGCTTTGAATAGGCTGTTTCCTTCTCTCTCTTCTTCTGGGATACCCATTATCCTTACGTTGCCCTTTCTAATGGAGTCCAATAATTCTCATAGAGTGCTTTCATTTTCTTAAAATCTTAGTTCTCTCTCCTCTTCCACTGGAATAATTTCTAGATTTCTTCTGTTTCTTCCATCTCTTAGGGCTCACTAATTCTTTCATCCACATGGTCTGCTCTATTTCCAGTGCTTTCTAATGCGTTCTTCATTTCATTTATTTTCTTCATCTCCAGAATTTGTTTGGTTCTTTTTTATAGTTTTAGTCTCTTTGGTAAAGTACTCCTGTTCATTAATTTTATTCTTGAGCTTATTGGACTGCCTTTCTGAGTTTTCTTGTACCTCATTGAATTTCTTCATAACTGCTATTTTGAAATCTCTATCAATTAGATCACAGCCTTCACTGACTTTAAGCTTGGTTTCTAGAGAATTATTATTTTTTGTTTTTCTGTTACTGTGTTATCTTTGTTGTTTGTGGTCTTGATAGATTGTGCCTCTACTGGCATTTGAAGTAGTGAGCCCTTTTCTTATTTAGGTAGTGTTTAATTTTAATAATTCAGAAAGTTGATCATTAGAAGTCTTTCTTTTGTTTTCCAGCAGATGGTGCTATAGTGCAAGTTTTTATTTTCTCTTACCTCTTGCACCTGGAGGGGGGCATAGCTATAGTCATGGGAGTCACTGCCTGGGTGACCAGGGTGGTGGGTGTTCCCACTGTGTCTGTCTCCTGGGTCTCAGGGTACCACCACCCTGGTGTGGGGATGTGGGGGTGAAGGGGAGCTGGGTTCACAAGTCTGTGCTGTAACCTGGTTCCCTACGGCCACTGGCACCACTGTGCTGTAGCCAAGAGGAGGTAAGTTCATCTCTGCTGCCGCTTCTGGGCTCAACTGCCAAGGGGGAGGGAGCGAGACTCCCCAGCGCTGACACCTCTGCCCGGCCATAGTGTGGAGGCCACGCCCTGACTCCTTCGCCACTGCCGTGTTCGCTGGGGAACCGTGTCTGTGAGCACTGTCCCTGTCCTGTCCCTGGTCCTGCCTCCCCTGCGCATTCCAGTACCCACCTTCCCATGTACGGATGTGTGGATCTCGGGCTAGTGTGTTGGGCAGAGGAACCTTTGTTGGGTTATAGATGCCGGACTAGTTGTAGATTTAAGGGGAGTGAGTGGGGTCTTGTCTTCTGCACCACGATGTTCTGTAGTATACTTCAAAAAAAATGTGTTACAATTATTTTTTACTGATTTTAATAGAAGAATCCAAGTAGGCCTTTGGTTTTGGAAACCCGGTAAGCCCGAGTGTGCTCAAGCTGGTTCTACTGGTTATTGGTGTTTCCTCTGCCAGAGCTGGAAGAGGTTCCATTAGTGATCAGGTGACCTGGAGGTGAGGAAGAAAGTTGACTGAGTGACTGACTCCTAAGGATGACAGGTATGCAGCAAGAATCATCCTGTTTTGAGAACATTCTGAGTTTCAAAGAGTCTCCCACTTCAGATCTAATTTATTATTAATCCATTTCTCACCACCTGTGTCTCCCTTACATCACTGCCCAGTATTTTCATCCCTTACACATTTGACTGCACCTTCCAGGGGTTCCAGCAATGCTTCTCAGATTTACAAACCTCATCCCTTCAGCACCCT